ACTAACAAAATATACATTTGTTATTTAATTGTCAAAGTTGATTATATTATGTCACTGCATTTTCATACTTTATATAAAGTAGTCTTTTTAATGCGCAGTAATCCGGTGTGTAGAGTGCGGATGATCGAATTCACTATAAGCTTAAATAGAAAGGCTAGTCACAATCAACCAAGTAATAAAACTCAATCATTCCACGGCTGAATGTAAAATTCCTGCAAATCGCGAAGCTACTTATCATAAAGTAAAAAATAAACTCTTACCCTAAATTCAAAGGAGAAGGAAAACGAATATACATAAATATAATGAAATTTGCGAGAGAAAATGCGATATCGAGCTGATATGGTACCCTTAATAGGACGATTTTAAATATTGCTTAAATAAAACAGGAGTGAGTCAACTCTCCGAACTGTGGAGACCGAAGGTTACGGTAGAATAGAGAAAGCTCTTCGGGATAACGTTTACTCTTCCAGTAAACAGCTAGCCGTTGTCTATAATGTGGCGCGTGGGGTTGGCGCGAGCGCTGTACGAGAAGGGAGGGCTATCGACCCTACATCTGCCTATATCGACAGCGACGGAGGAACCACGCGGTCTGCTACAAGCAACCCTCTTTCTTAAAGGCTGCTATATACTACGGCACACGTGTATCGACAAATCGACTACGGAGTCTCCGTTTTGTCGAAATGCAATATCTGAAATTTAATTCGCAAGTGTATTTTTGTCCAAAATGAAAAATATTGACGGGCTTATACGGTGCAGCTGCACGTATCAACATATATGAGCGCTGCGTCATATCGTGAGATTCAGAATGTTGCATACACGTACATAATATGTATTTACGCAGTAGCTACACTTTTACCGCGAAATGTTAAATCATTCAGAACATATCAATATGTATTAATAGCTGCAATAATGAATATTTTCTTCCTGATGTGAAATAAATTAAATTATAAATTATAGCTACACAATTATTTAATTCACATTTAATTTAATCTTTAATTTTATATATATGTTTATATTACTATAAATAACATTTTATTTGCTATTTCCACGGTGTTAAGCTTCTGATTATATAACTTAGAATTGAAAGCATTCTTTTTTTATAAAAGTTGCTCGTTTTGATTCCTCTCGAATACCTGGAAGGTTAAGCTTCATTTCGCTCTTACACGCAGAATTCTTACGAATTGCGAAGTTAGCGGTTAGTTACTTACAATCTCGTCGTTTGCTTTGCACGAACGTAAAGCAACAGGTAAATGTTCTAGCATCGCATGTCACAATTAATTTCTTTTACATCGAGACAGCGTGAACGCGACCGATTAGAGAGATTATAACATATAAGATAGAGATCTTAATTGTTGAAAAGAGTGTTTAATTTGTTGTAACGCGACCTTTCACTTTTACAAAATGGCACATTTTTTTATCATTTTCAGCTTATATATAGGATATTCTAAACCTGTCGTGCAATTACGCCATTTTAATATTTAATTATTAATACGTTATATTTTTAATGATTTACATATTAATATTTTTCAAGTCCTTACCTTATGGTGGATAAGCGATATGTCTTTTGGAATGTAAGATGATACACCTCAGTCTACTGTGAGCATGCGACGACAGCAGCGAACATGAAGGTGCTGAACTCTTTTTGTCCTCGTCGGAATTCGCGACGCGAACAATCATCATTCCGCGTGACACCATCACGACCGATTATTTTTTTAAGCAGGCTTACTACGCAAGAAAAGAATCACATAGATCGATCATATAGATCATCACAAGTAAAGTCACAATAATTAACGCGAGTTTCCCGTGATTTGTTTTAATGAAACGTTTCTGCTTTCTTCGCCGCCCAGCCGCTGATGTCTGAAACATCATGAACGATTTACAAATCAGCGAGAATCTAACTCTTTCCTTAACTATTATAGAGTTAAACGAGCCTTGCAACCTTGTTTCTTGATACTGTAAAGGTGCGATGAGTTAACGCAAGTTACAGTAAAGTTTTTATGATTAAACCATGCGAAACAATTATAAGCGCCGTTTTTTTTCTTATTTACCACTTTTTAATTAGAATTTAGTTATATATAAATAAATGATTTTTCAAAATCAAAATTTTTTATTTTTGAAATATAGACATTAAAAAGTAAGAATAAAAGCAAAAAACACAGAGAAAAAAAATGAAAAATTATCTATTTTTCAATTTATTTCAATTTTAAATATTCAAATCGTTTATAAAATATTACAGCCTTATTTTTCAATTAATTTAAACCAAAGTTTTTAAGAGGATTAAAATGTCTGTTAAGGGGTTATACTCAGTTGGGATGCGGAAAATAAGATGATTTTCACGATTTTTTTTAGCAGTATAGACAAACATTTATTGAAATGTGCTTCATGGCATCTAATAGTATATACATTGAAGTACTTATAATAATTTTTTTGAGTCTAAATGTATAAAAATAAAGAAAATATAGCCGTCTTGCAAAAATAAATTTTTTTCAGCGGTGAGCATGATAACTCTGGAACAACTCATCTGAAAT